TGTATTCCTTCCATCTTCTTTTGATGCTTCCTGTGTCGTTCAATATTTTGCCTATAGAATCCTTCAATATTGCAACTCGAGGCTTGAATTTTTTCCTCAGTTCTTTTCAGTTTGGGAAATGCCAAGTGAGTTCTTCCCTTTTGGTTTTCTAATTTCAGGTCTTTACACATTTCATTATGATACTTTACTTTGCCTTCTCGATCTGCCCTTTGATATCCTGTGTTCAGCTCTTTCACTTTATCATTTCTTCCTTTCGCTTTAGCTACTCTACGTTCAAGAACAAGTTTCAGAGTCTCTTCTGACACCCGTTAATACAAATTAATATAGCGATATTATGGGAGTATATAGGATGTACATTTTAACCCAGACTGAAGCAAGAGAAACACTGAATTTTTAGAAATTATTCGTTCATAGATAAGCACTCATTCACTAAGAATATAAGGGGCTCAAAAATATTTTTGCTGTATTAGTTAAATCCATGATGGTTTTCTACATGTTATACATCCAGAAGGGGATGTGGACTCTGCTTCATAATCTGCCTGTAAGCATATGCCAGTACTGAGATGAATCCTTAACAAAATAACTTCTTTGGATCTGTCCATCCTGGTTGGTTGCACTGAATCCTCTCTCTGGTTCAGATCATACAGGATTATATTAGCTGGCCAGCTCCCTCTGTTTTTTCTTTCCTCCACAATTACCTCAACCACTGATCCTTCATTCCAGGTATCTAACTGTGACGTTTTAAATACCAATACCCTTTGTAAAGAATAGCAAATATCTGCAATCCAACAGACTATGAATAATACTAATATAAAAATCTCTGAACAGAAAGAATAAAATTCAAATTCATCGTTCTATGTCAGCTCCTCTTTCAAGCCCTTCCCTTGTCCCCGCAGGTAGAGTAACTTACTATGATGTTCCTCTATACTCCCAAAGTACTTTGTACATACCTCATGTTATATATCTGTTCTTATGTCTAGCTTACTTGCTAGACTATGAGTGTTTTGAGGGTTAAGACTGTGTGTTGTTTATCTTTTCATCCTCAGTGCATAGCACCACTCCTGGTTCACAGTAAACATTTGGTAAATGTTTCCTCAATGAACAAATGTAAAGAAATATATACCTTCCTTAAGATAGTCTTTAGTCACTTCCAGAAGTGATTGCAGGATCTCCTTGTTTACTATTGTTGTTGTGTGTTGTCAAGTTGATTCTGACTTATAGTGACCCTATAGGACAGAATAGAACTGCCCCATAGGGTTTCCTAGGCTGAAATCTTTACATGAGTAGATCTCCAGGTCTCTTCTCCTGCAGAGCTGGTTGGTGGGTTGGAAGCACCAGCCTTTCAGTTAGCGGCCAAGCGCTTAACCATTGTGCCACAGAGCTACTTGTTTACTATTACCTATCTGTTTCTAGCTCTTTCATTTTTAGGTTCATCCTACTGTTTCTACCAGAATCACTAATTAAATGGATATTTAGGAAATTATACCCTCCAGCCCTTCTTAAGGGTAACAAGGGCTTTATGCCTATGACTTTATGAAAGAATGGCCCTCAAATCCAGCTGGACATGGTGGCCAACAACACTGCAGTTTTCCAAGCAAGAAACTGACATTTAGACATGAAATACTGAAATTATAAGCAACATTCTTAGACAGAATTGGATACATACATTTATTTGCCAAATGCTTATTGACTTTTTTCTCTTGGAATTTTTTTAAGTGTCTTGTTTAATAAGACAAATAAAACAAATAAGCTCTTCCAGAAGATCACAATTTAGTTGAGGAGAAGACAGGCACATAATCATTACTGTTAAAGTTTGATGTCTCAGTTCATATTTGGAATGTTTCAAGATCAATCTACAAATTATTCCAACTCATTTTATATAGATGTGGGCTGGCCAATTAAGTATTCAACTTAGAAAGTTATTAAGAGTCATTTTAGAGGTGGGAAATCCAAATCATCAACATCACAGGGGTGGAAAATAGCGACATTCTATGGAAATCTGCTTCTTTTAAAATCTGGTTTGTTAGAAAAATCAGGAAATATAACAGTGAGTGAAACTCATATTTGTGACATTCATAGTCTAGTAACTTTACCAAAACATTCACTTAGTTCGATATCCTTCACTTATCTTCTATACACATGAAAAATTCACAGTAAATTGTGACCAGAAGGCTAAGGTTTCTATAGGCTTAATTAGAGCATTCCTTAAGCAAAAGTAAATTTTCTTGGCCAAGTCCTTTCCCATCTTGGGCATCAATGGCCCCAGCTATAACATCAGTGGATAGTCTCAGAAAACCAGACAAAACAGCATCCAGATTAAACAGTTTACAGGCCCAGGATTCTCTAAATCTATATGTTAACCTGAACTAGGATAGTCATACATGGGACTAGACAAACAATCCATCAAACAATTACATTTGTCATAAGGAGATAACAGTTAAAAGGAAATCCACAGCAACAATTTTATTTGTGTGCCTAGAAATCTCTTCTGCATTTCCATATATGAATCTGCCCTACTTTAGCATTCTGGTAATATGCAAATGACAGCACAACAACTTTTGATATGTATACCACTGATCAATAAATATTAGAGAAACAGTCCTCTACTGAGTTGGGAGTGAAAGTTTGAGGTTTGGTTACTCCAAGTTGAAAGCATCTAATGGATCACACACTCAATTTTCATGACAAACAACTTCAGAGAAGTGTGGTGATAAAAATCCAAGAAAGATCATAGAGCAGGAAACTCAATTAGACAATTTTATTTAAATATAGCTATGATAAGCAGTAAGAAAGCTGTGGGTAAGCTAAACCCTTTCTTAGGGCAATAAATTAGCCTAATTAGTTAATTCTCTTACAGTTTAATGTATCAAAGGAAATACACTTTTGCTCTCTTTTGGGAATATGACATTCCAATGAATTTTCATCCTGTATTTGTAAAATGTATATTTTCCTGTTTGCCTTCACAGTAATAATATTGGAGGTGTACATGAAAAGTACCTATGTAATTTTATTTCAGTTACTTTATACAGAGATATGTAATGGCTTAACTTAAAATTGTCTTTAATCTGTAACATGGATAGAGTCAGATTTTGAATAAGGATGCCAAGTATCTTAAATTTCAGAAATTGTTCCATTCTTTCTCCCCATTCCTTCATTTTTCGTTCCATAAATGTTCATTAAATTGAAAACTTAGATGCTTCTACTTTCAGTCTTTAATATCACTTCCTTTTATTTTCATGACAGAAACTTAATAATGGGATGCTTCATTTTTTAAAATGTAGATTAAAATATCCTATCACACTTCATAGTCAGTCCTGCAATTCATTCAGAAATAGCTCTAAAGCCTTAAACAAGGCCTTTATTTTGTGTTTAAAAAAGTGTCATAAGGAGTTAATAGGACACAGCTGTACTGGCTTTTTCTAATAAGCAGCTTCTGTCGCTTTGGTCACCACAGGTGTCTCTGTAACCTGCAAACTCTTAGTACTAGTGTATCAAAGTTGTGCTACTTAACAGACTTCTTTAGTAAAACATAACAAAGCAATTACATGGCTGTTGATTGCTAGCCATTAAAAAAAAAAAAAAAAAAAAACCCTCAAACACTGTTTTTCAAAAGAAACTACACTGCAATTTTTTGTCATTGTAAAATAAAAGGAACTAAGGAATTAAATGGAGGATAGAACAAAATAACAGCAGGTAGCCAGCTGAACTTAGCCACTACAGATGGTTTAGAAATAGTGTTTCCTTCTCCATCAAGTTGTGGATAAAAGGAGAGAAGGAGATGCCTTACTGCCAGTGAATGGCAAAAGATTTAGCAAAGTCTCCAGTGTATGTATTTTAGCCTCATGAAAGACCTTCGATGCTGCATTTTTATCTGTTTTTGGCATTGCTTTTCATCACCTTTAACTGAGTGTGAATAATAACCTGATTTAATTTAAACAAATACAGGTGCTAAAGGTTCTTTACTTATGTATAACAGGGAAGACTTCCAAGGCAGAAGGAAGTCATCTTATGAAATTTCCTAACCATTTGCCTTTAAGATATAAGGTATTAGATGAAGAAATTGCTTCGACACTCTTTTACTTCACATTTAAGGGAGGAATCATCTTTCTTTACACATTCAGATTACATAAAACAAAGTCTGAATGATAACCAAAAATTCAATGAGCCATAAAATAATAAAAAGACAAATCTGATGACTTCGAAATGTTCTATAATTGCTTAAATTAGTTAATTACAACAGACACTTGCCTTGAAATTAATTTAATCTCCCTGTTCACAAGCCCGAAGCCTGTGATTATGATTGTGTTAACACACCCAAAGTAGCATCATGAGATGTTATGGCCACATGTGTAATTAAACATGATGAAATAGATTTCATATGGGAAACTCAAACAGGCAAAATATGAAGAATTATTCATCACTTATAGATATTATGATTAACAAACTAAGTAAACTTATGCTGACAGCTAGGAAAGGGATTTTTTTTTCCTATTGAGAATATGGATGTATTGCTGGTTGTGTGCAAAAGAATGTGTTCAATAACGCGATTACATCAATTAGCATATGCTAGAGTTAAGCTATTACCAATACCACTGGATTGGTCCGGAATATCCTGCCTTCTTCACTGAAGTTATTAAAAAATAAACTTACCACTAGGACTATATGTCAGACTTGCCTTGCCTTTTCTGAACATTATTAAAAACACAGATTTCTCTAAATGTTCAACAACATATTAGAAATTTACTGTATCTGTCTTATTGCAACAAAGACTAGAGAAGTGATTTTTGTTTTTGTTTTGTGGTGATTATTAAACTTAAGAAGAGTCTTTTTAAGTTTAGGTATGTTTTCACAATTATAAATAGCTGCACGTGTTTTAATGAAATGTAAAGGTAGAAAATTTAATGTTGAGGATGAGAAATGTCTATGACGATAAGAAACCAAACACAGTGATGACTTAAAAAAAAAACAAAGCTCAACTTATAACTTGTGAACATTGTTACCTTGCTCTGTTGGTGTCCTTTGTCAGATCCCAAGCCCAGGTTATAAAATTTTGACTCAGATAAGAGACAATGGATTCAGCACAAAGCATTTGTGAGCAGAACACGTTGGTTAATACACTTTCATCATGGTGGAGGTAGATAGCAAGAAGCTTTCTCTGAAAACAGAAGACAAGACTGATCAATTAAAATATCCACTAATGTAAGATATCTTGAATTTTGTAAAGACACAGTCAGTCAATATGAACAGCAAAGACAAAAATTAAATGCTATTCCCTGAAAGAGTACCTTACACTTAGAGTTCTTAAAGCATCTACTAATGTGAATGGATTTGCTTCCTTATACTCTAAAGAAGCTAGGATGATTATCTCTCTCCTGTTTTACAGACTGCCGTCACAAATTTCTGTTAAAATGTGCAAGCCTGTCTCAAGCAGAAATTGCAATAGAATTGCATTTTCCTTAAGTAAAATGGATTTATCATTCTTCATATTTAATACACATCTTACATATGTCATGAAATATTAATTTTGAACTATTCAACTACGCAGAGAAAAATACTAAAATTAAATGGCTAAATCCCTGTAAAAAAATATTTCAAAAGTCTGAAAACTGACTAGTCTTTTACTTGAAAGGGAAAGGTCTGAAAAGAAAAGAAGTTTCGTTTTAGATCCACGGTAATTTTCAAAGTCCTTAATGTGTTCCCTTATTTAAGTGCAAAAGTGTCCTCAATCATAGTTGGATAGTCAATAAAAGAACTGAAACTATAAACTGAAATTCTACAACATAATTTGCGACACATCAGCTTTAACAACAAAACAGTCTAAATTGTTGAATAACTGCTCAGTGCTACTTTGTAGAAGAGATGGGTTTAAGAATAGCTACAGCTCTGAGGACACGAGAAGATAAGATTTTACGGTAAACAGCAATATACAAAGCAACTTATGAAATTTTGTCAAACAACAATTTAAAGAAAGCTGAAGGTGTTTCTCTTCATATTAAATAAGGACGTGATAATAGCAAAAAAAAAAAACAAGTTGCTGTATGGGATTCTAAACAAAAAGACCTTTATAGATAAATATAGGATTCATGCTGATGAAAGACTAAAGAAGTCTGATGCTTGGAATTTTCCTGATAAAGAATTCAAATTATAATAATAAAAAGTAATCATAAAAATATTTTCTTTAAAGCTAAATTTTATACCAGACGAGGGTACCCAGAGGTAGACAGAATAAGATTCCAAAAGCATTCACTGAGCACCTACTATGAATGGGAGGCACTGTTTAGTTACTTTCACACCCATTATCTACTTTAATCCCCAGAATAAATGTGTAAAATAGGTATTCTGAACTTCATTAACATATGTGGAAACTGAGGTTTAGAAAAGCTGATTTGCCCCCAATTCCACAGCTAGTTAGTAAGCAGTACAGCTGGGACTGGAACCCAGCTTGTCTGACTACAGACCTAGTGTTCTTTTTCTGATACTATAGCCAGTGCAGAGAAATCAATCATACTGTAGTCAAGGATGCTGGACTCATACCATACAAAGATGCCAGTAGGCCACTGCTCATAGCATCAGGGCTTCTCCAGTTTTCGGAAATAGTATGCAATGGGAATCAGGCTAGGACTCCTGAGTATAAGTGGCTCAGCTGATGCCACTCAGCTTCTGTGTGTTAATTCATTTATTCATTCATTCTAAAAGCATTTGTTGAAATACTCTTTGTGTCAGCCCAGCAGGAGGCAAATCTCGGTGTTTCTTCATCTATGTTGATGTCTGCAGATAACATTAGCTGGCTTTTAGGAAGTTTGTAATCAGAGACATTGTTGGAGAGATACTTATCTAGCAAATTCCTACTCATCCTTTCAGACTCAAAGCAAATGCCTCTATAAAACCTGTCGTGACTCCTCAGGCAGAGTTAAGTGCTTCCTTTTCTGGGCTTCTACCTCTTTCACTAATACTTGTTTACCAGTTTCTCCTCTAGCCTAAGTCTCTCTAGAGTGAAGGTTGGGTCTCTCTAGGTCTTCTTTGTACCTTCAAGCTAGCATAGGTCCCAGTATGTTTGATGAAGTAAACTTGAATCTGCTACCAAACCTCTGGCAAAAAAGACACAAAATGGCAGTGGCAATGCCAAATCAGTTTCAGTAAACAAACCAAGAAAGCTGCTGCTTTACGGAAAGGACCGTGAACCTGGTAGCACTAACAAATTCAGAGCTCTTCTTAGGAGCACTCTAGCTGAACAGACAGAGGGATGTCAGCCTCTAATTCTGCTTGATGGTATCTCAGCAACTACATTTAATGAGCTACTGGGAACAAGAGAGCTGTCCACTTTTAAATCAGTATATTTCCAACCAAACAATGGCATTGGCTAAATCTTTAAAATGCCTATTTCTCTCAAGAACACTGCAATGGAACATTAGACTTTGGGAAAGAGATTAGTGATTTACATTGCTATCTCACTGATTTAATTTAAATGCTCTTCCAAACCAAACACACATGTGCCGAAGAGGCTCCTAAGAAACCCAACATGCAGAGTTCCCTCTAAGTGCAGCCTACAGTGTTGACTGAAACTCAACTTGGAAATCCAGGGTACTAATGCACAATATCAAGCAATAAAACAGCATCTCTTTGGCAATATTTAATTTAAAAAAGAAGAAAGAGGCAGGCAGAGATCAGGCACTGTCTGTTTCAGAGGATCAATCATTCTGCATTTCAAAGCATTGGTCCCTGCAATATCCAGGTTACTGTGCTAGAATCTCGAGTATTATACCGCAGTTGTGAGAGGGAGGGCAAAGATGTGTTTACTCAGTGATTAGGCCCTTAGAATAAGCCTCTAGCTCCTAGAGAGACAGCTCACCACTTATTCATTTGGGCCAATTCACAAAGCCTAGGAAGATTAAACATCCATGCTGAGAAGACAAGCGAATGCAGACGGTGAAAAAGAAATAAAAATTCTTTAAAAACTCTGAGATGACTTCATTATTTTTCCACAAGGAAACTTTAGGAAAGTGTTTAGTTAGAGAAAAACCCACATTGACCTCTCTCTAAACCCTTAATCTTTCCTTTGTGGTGGAACTGCTTTGTGGTAAGCGACTGGCTCGCCTCGCCCCTCTTTTCACTGGAAGCTGAGAGAAAAAAGGCTCTGGAGAAACAGTTTTCGTTCCAGGGACACAAACCCCTGACACTGTTAAACAAGAGATGCCAGGAAAACACACTTAAAAAAAATTCCCACTTTAAGCTGTAAACTGAATGTGACAAAGGAGATGATAAAAAAAAAAAGTATCAGAAGAGATCTTCAGGCTGGGGCTACTCCCATAATACTTTCAAAATGGAAACTGAACAATCTTAGAAGAATCTTTTCTTTCTGATATAATAAGCTTTCAACATGTTAAAAACGTTCTTCTACTACTATGGTAGTAAATAAAATAGAAAGACTTTTAATAATATGCAAATACTACTAAATTTGGGCTACATAAACCTCTGATTAAATTACAGGCACAACTAAATAAACCACACAGACTTTGACTTCTCATTACCTTGTTAAGTGCAATTAAGTATAGGCCAAAACAGTGAAAGCTAGGTTCAGCGTATCAACCGACCTGGGATAGCGAAATGGCAAAAAAGATCAGAAAACTGCTTTTGGGAGGAATGGGCATCTAGTATATGAAAAAGGCATAAGAAAATGTTTTGTTTCCATTACTATAACCAGTTTTTTTTCCCCCTTTGACCCATTAATAATTTAATTCAATAAGATTTACAAAGTGCCTATGTGTTAGCACTGAGAATGTAAAGATGAATGAGAAAAAGTTACCTTGCCCTCAAAGAGTTGGATGTGAGGCAGGCATGTGGGAGAGCAAACATTTAATTGCAGTGCCATGTGATAAGTGCTAAGGTTGGGGTATTAAAAAGAACTATATTTTATTTGTCCTTTCAAATTTAGTGGAGAGGGTCTACATTTGATAGCTGACAAAGGCAACCAACCCTGTTACACTTTCCTCAGAGTCCCTCTTTTCTGATCTAGGCTTTAGTAACATGGAAAGTCAAAGTAACTAGCAGCTCTGTTCTAAACCAAGTTCTGAGCCACTTACCAGCTGTGTGATCATGGAACACTATGGGTTGTTGTAATGATTGTGGATAAAGTTAGGGGAAGTACCTATTTACAATGCTCGGCCCATAGTGAGTGCTGAAAGAAAGGAGGCGTTAGGATGAAGATTTCTGGACTACCCCTGAAAAAATAAAGAATTTTGAAAGCAAATCCAAGAGGAATGATAGCAACGAAAATGTGTTAAAGATTAAACAGCGCCTTCATTTTTCCTACTGGCAATAGTGTTTGGGGTGGTTTTTGTGTCTCTGCCTTCAGGGTCTCGCTACTCTTCACATTCAAATCTAGGAGCTAAGGTACTAAATCGATGCTTAGGAAATGCCAAGCTGACAGCAACCAATGTGACTTGTCCTTGAGCTACAGTAGCTACTGTATTTAGAAACTTAGCCTCACAACGTCATAGACCATTAGAGCTGGAAGCAATGAGCTGGCTATGGCTTATTATGTCTTAAAATAAGCTAGGCACAGAGAGGAGACGCTCAGAAAATATTTGCTGATGGTCTGAAAAGGAAATGTTCTAGTTTCTTACTGAGGACCAGAACATCCATAGTCTGAGTGTTCAGTGATTTTAAAGCTATTATGACAAATCATTTCTAGAAATGGCAGTTCATAGGTTTTTTTCACAGTGTAAGTTTAAAGTATAAAATAATTTCCTTTGTGTAAATTGGTACCTGTCTTTATTTTTCCCCTTCCCCTTTCCTTCTCTTTTCCCACCATCACTGTCATAACCATAAAAATCAGAATCATAGTCACTATCATTCACTGACTACTATTTGCCGAGAACTGTGCTAAGAGTTTTCTGTGGGTGGTACAAACAGTTAAGCACTTGAGGCTGGCCACTGGCATCACTAGGGTTGGTGTTATCCAGTACGGTAACTCATAGTGTCACCGCCACCCCCACCATGGACCTCCTTCTGTACCATATCATACAGACTCTTTAGTAATGTTTTTTGTACTAATGTTACTCATTAATCATAATTCCTGTATATCATTCATTTTTGCTTTAACTACTATTTGAGTGTCAAAAAAGTTATTGATATAGGTTCATAAATACTAATTAC